CAGAAGACCTACACAACTTTTTTCTTTTTGATTTTTTACCTGGATTACTGAGATGCATCATGGATCACTTGTGTTGTTACCGACATCTGGTGAAAATTTCATGTCATTAGCACCTCTAGTAATATATTTACTGAGAAAAATGGTGACGTGTTCAAGACTTATTTTACCCGCTGTAGCTCCTCCCTTTAGCTCAGTCTGCAGCAGAGCTCCCGCTCTACAGAATACCCCTCCCCCGAAGCAACGTTGTGGAGATGTGCTGAAGTGGGAGCGTCAGAAACTGTAGAGTCGGAGGTCAATTTTAAGGCTTTTAGTTTAAGATTAAAGTTGCATTAAAGCTCTGAATAATTTACTCATTGCCACCATAAAAACAGTTTCTATCTTTGATTTTTTTTTTTTTACATTTTGTTGTTCTTGTTGATTCTCTTTATCCAAGACATTTTACTCCAGAGAGATGTTCAGATGTAATCTACATCTCCTTCTTTGATATGAGGAGATCATCAGGTTGTGTGATGTATGTGAAGCGCAGTAGGAAATTATCAGTGCGCCGCTGGTTTCTCTGAGGCGCTTTCAGCACGTCGGCCTCATGATAACAGCAAGCTGCTATAGATCAAATCATCCTGTTTGACAGATGGGTAGTCTAAAGTGGGCTGCCGTTCAGACGTGGCAGGGCAGCACTCTGGTAAACTGGGTCACTTTATGAGTTTGTGCTGCAGAGCAGATTAGAAAATCGGTGATACAAACCGTGTGATTTACATATCTGTGAGTTGAGGCTTCAGAAGATTTCAAACATTCAGCCAGATTCAATCGGAGCACTTTTAAACGGCCGTTTCTGTCAGTGATGGATCTGTGTGCGAAGTGATTAAACTGGTCATTAAAGCAACATAAAGTGAGAATGTGACGCTTCTCCTAAGAGTGGTGAGCTGCCGGTGCATCAAATCACAGAGATGTGTTATCAGGCCTGCTTCACTCACTGCGGCTTCAATAACTGAACTCACAACAAAAAGTCGTCTCAGGATGTTTTGGACACGAACAAATCCGGCAGAATCCTTTGAGTAAAACTGTAGCCGTCCGCTTCTGCATGGATGTTCAGTGAATTTAACTAATTCTGTCCTTTAAGGAACACTGATGCATGAGAACTAAATTTAACATACTGCTGCCTCATTATCTTTCCTCACACAGTGACAAGGAGCTCTGAGGATTGTAAATTATAAACAAGCTCAACTGGCAGCAGTTCGACTGCAACAGATGCCCATGAGACAAATCCCTCTTTTCTCTCTGTGTGTGTGTGTGTGTGTGTGTGTGTGTGTGTGTGTGTGTGTGTGTGTGTGTGTGTGTGTGTGTGTGTGTGTGTG